AGTCCTGTCTGCACTTTGGGTTCGTTCCTGTCCACAAAATCCTGACAGGTTTACAAACACTTTTTAGGTTGTACTGTTCTTTAAAGTATTTGGTTTTATGATAATTCAAGAAAACTAAAAAGCAGGACTCATAAAAGCAGCTGAAACACCATGCCTGTCTTCAAAGACGTTACTGTCACTTCAATAATTTTTGTCGCCGGTCTTTCTCGTTTGCAGGTACAATGAGCTCTAACCGGTCTGAATCCTCCCAGTTTTGAGCCCGAGAAGATCTACTGCCAGACGCCAGGGTCAGCTGTGGAGGTGCGCTTTTAATGAGCAGCGGAACAAAATCCCCCTTTGTAAAAAGAAGCTGAGGTCAAAATGAGGCTGCATAAAGGCTGAACGCTCAGAGTTGAAAACGGCTGCAGCTTCTTACATTCTTATTTGTCCAAACGACCCAACTTTGAGTGCAGAAAGTGTCCTCGCCCCTGTTTAATGCAGACTTATTGGATTAAAACCTTTTTTCTCACTGCAGGAATCATGTCAGAGCACTGCTGTTAAGGATAGACCAAGGTCAGCTCTTTATTATTTAAGAAAAGTGCCAAGATTGATGTTGAAATATGCTTCACAAGCCTAATTTGTTGCAAAACCAGAAAAAGAAGGCATATGTTTATTTTTGTGATTTTACACATTGTAAGTTTTAAAACTGATGTTTGTTGTTAAACTGTCACACGTGGGACAAATCCAATTTCCTGTTGCACAAAACGAAGCACATAAAAGCATGCAGAGGCTGTGCCAGCACCACGAAAATAAATATTTTTGTTCGACTCGTAGGAGCAAATTTAACAGAATTATGTAGAATTGTCACAATTTTTCTAACAACTTATGAAAGGGACATTTAGCATTTTTCTCACATTAATATCCACTCTGTCTTTTAAATGTCAGTTTGCATGCGTGTGCGCACGGACACTGATTTTCCCAAACTACCGTAACACAAGGAACAAATAAAGCAGTAGTATCCTGCACATTTCAACCTTAACAAATTTAATAAAAAGATTATACTTGCATTTCTTTTGTTCGTGTTTTGTGTTTTTGGTACAACAAACCTTATCCCTGTCAAATCTTTGGACCAGAACTTTAATATTTACTATTTGAAATGCGTCAGAACAGCCTTTAAATATGGTCAGAACTGGATATGGATGCAGGCCCGAGTTCCTCCAGCATCACACAGACTGGTGTGGATAATGTAGCTGTGAGCTCCGTGTCCCGGGACTGAGTCCGAGCCAACGTGACTGCGTTGTTGACAAAACCCCCACACGCCGGGGATGAGCTGTGATGACGTTAAGATGGAAAATGTGACCTCAGCTGATGCAGCTTTTTGTTAAAGAGCGTCTGCTTTTACTTCCAGTCAAAGCTGCAGGTGACCTTTTCTCATGTTTCTTTGTGAGAAGGTGACATCAACTTTTTACAATGCTTCAGTTGTTTTGTTTTCCCAGCAGCACAACAAAACACACAAACAGGAAGGAAGTGTCGTGCACACAGGGCGATCTGTAACAGAGCCAGCTACCTGCGATGGTTGCAGCTTGACGTGAGATTAACAAACCGTCATGGCTGCTCAGTTTTTATATGAAGCAGTCTCGAGAGCAGCTTGTTCTGCTCTTTATATACATTTTTTAAAAGCTGCTGCTCTGATCAGATTTTGTAGTTTCACACTAATTTCTTATGAGAATAAGAGTCAAAGCAGCTGTTGTTGCCAACTGACGTTCTGACAAACGGTGGATGAAGTCGGATAAAACTGTAAAAAAAAATATATATAAACCCAGTACGGAGCAGAGAATAGTGCAAAAAACACAAAATATAAAAGTAAAGTTATGAAACGAACAAAGTTTTAAGTTTAACTATAATTGGCAAAAAAAAAAAAATGTTTAGTGCTGAATAAATAACGTGATAGAAACAAACAAGTTGTTTTGGTAACAGATGAGAATAAAAGAGATAATGTTTTTGCCCGTGTGTCTTTGTCTTTGCTGCGTTAGCAAAATTTCTCATGAACCAGGGATTCATTTTAAATTAGAAGGTAATCTGTGGATGTACAAATACAACTGATTAAGATGGTCGTCCCAGTCAACTGACCTTAGAAAACACAAAAATAACTAACAATTGTACAAATACTGAGCTAAAATCTGGTGTGGTGGTACTTTAAACGTTTGTCTGACTTATACTCTGAGTTACACACGTGCAAATTTGCATTAACTGTTGAAGTCAGT